TGTCGAGCTCCCTGCCCAGCTGATCTTTTTAATAAAGAGCTGGACATTAATAAAGACATAAGCCCTGTTCATTTCAGATATATTTTGATTGGAATGTTGCTTTTTTTCCTTGTTGCTGTATTTACACAGACCTAGACAGCATACCACTGGGTAAGTATGTTTAGCTTTCTGTGTACTGTACAGCTACATGAGTTACTAATTCATTCATATTCACTAACTGATGCATCTTAGAATTTGTGAGTCTGTGAAATTTGCATGGACTGTTCTGTAAATGTACTCATTATCATGAGCTTAAAGAGCATTTCTTCCTTTCTGAAAACACCTCTAGCTCTTGTGGTAATAGCCCTTGTGGTAGTTAAAAGTGAAGACAGTAAGCAGAGCTGTATTTCAAATTTATAACTTCATGCTTGCGAGCCCAGAGTATGTTCAGAGTACACAGAATTATTTTGTGATATACTACTCTTCTGACAAATTCTGCTCATCTTTAGGTTTGGAAAAAAGGCAATTCTTAACTTGCAGGTAATTTTTAACCTTTTGCAAATAGCTCATTTCGTACAGAATGCAGGATCATATCCCACTTTTTCGAATGTGTTTAAATTACTGACTTCACTGATTTTAAGATTAAAATTGCTCTTATTGTTGTTGCTTTGAAGTTATTCCCAAATGAATTAAGCTTATTTTCTTCCCTCCAAAGAATTGGCTGTATTTGGAACTTGAGAAAAAGAATCCTGTTACCAGTGATAATTCCTTTAGTGTTATTTTGTGCTACTTTTAATCACATTTTGCTGTCCTGTGCTAGTTTGCACAACATTTCAAAGCACAAAACTACATGGAAGTGTATAGATCATAATGTAAAGGTGGTGAGAACTTGGCCAGCTTCCTGTCAGGTGACCCCTGAAAATCTGTGTCAGGGGATCTTGCTGCCTGCAGCCAGTTATTTATTCAGGAACCTCAGTGGTTTGTAGTATCATGGTGTCTCTAGAAAAGGCCTTTAATGTGTGTGCATATTCACCCCTGTTGGAGCATTGTTCCTCCTGACAGCATTGCATTTTCTTTAGCTCTGGACAGGCTTTTACTTATTAACAATATCTGAAACATCTGAAAAAAAAGCCATGTACTAAATGTATTGCACAGTAGATCTGTAATAAAATTCTTCATGGAGTGTTTTCTCATTAAAGTAGCTTTTTAACACTTTGTAAGCATGACCTGAAGCTGTTAGAGTATCTAAGCCACCCAGGAATCTGCTAACACTATACAGGAAAGAAATGCAGCTGAATATGCTGCACTAACCAAGGTCCAAGACTGTTGGTAGTCTGTGTTTTGTGGCTCACTAGTGACCAAACCTTTTGAGCTGCAGGGAGTTCAGACATCACTGTAGTGAGGCTTTGATGCTGGGATTGCCAGCTGGTTTGCAGGGATTCTTGTTGGTGCAGGGCCTGGCAGAGTTCCTGCAGGTAGAATGTGGGTGGCAGCAGATCCTGAGATCAATCTCACCAGGATGCCTGACATATCAGTGTTGGAGCACAGACAGCCCTATCCCAAGCAAAGGGATTGCACTTCCATGGTATTTGTGATTTGCCCTCTTGATGCCTACTTTCAGATCCACCATCTTCAAAAGTTCTTAGCCATTTGAATACACTTGGCTCAGAAGAGCTTGAACATTCCCCAGTGTAATTATGCACTTGCATTCAACTGTAGACAAGAAGAAGTTTCAGTCTGCAAAAGTACATCACAGGTTCAGGTTTTGACTTGAATGGACTTTCAGTTCACATCCACCTTGGTGGATGAGCCAGCTGCCATTCACTATCCCATCTGCTCTTGCGAAGAGTTAAAATGACCATGAAATTGGGTTTTGAATGTTGCTGAATTGACTCCTCTTTGAGGAGCTGTGGAAGCTGCTTTTACTTCCCACTGTGATGTATGGACATTCACAGATGTGAGTCACATCCACTTATGTGCAGGTTTTGAGAGGGCTGGTCAAATGTCATTTCCTCTGGGTGAACTCTGCTGGTGTATGGCATTGTTCTGGTACCGTCCAGTTGCCACTGCAAGAGGATGAAGACACATAATCAGAAAATTCTCCACCTGTTCTGCAAGCAGTGGTTTGCTAGCACCTGGCCCTTCAAACATTACAGTCTTTACTAACTTCATATCTCCTTTCATCTCTTCTCACTCTCACAGAATCTTGCTCTTTCTACCTTTTTGTTGATTCTGTGCACTGGTTTCCCTCTCAGGGCTTTGGGCAGTCTTCCTGTGTTGAATTGCAGGCAAACTGAAGAAACTCATCAGGTCACATAAGAGTGAGCCTGCAAATAAAATCCTACCTTTTGTGGTCATTCCACACTTTCTACTTAGTTACCTGTAAAAAGAGATCACAAATTCTTTATGAGTAGGGGGATGAAGTAACATAATTCTAATAGGAATCTTATCTTTTTTAAAAATGCATTTATTTTAGAGATGCTGCTTTTGTCTTACTGAATGGAGCAGTACTCTAAATGCCCACTTCTGCAGGAGGCATATAATAATAATAACAATAATAAAAAGACTAATGACAATAATAATAATAAGTATTGAAAGGTTTTCATCTGGCCTCAAATCCATGATGGAACAAAAAAAACCCCCTGAAAATTCAGAGTGCTACTCCTGTGACCCTGTTTTCTTTAGAATATAGTTGTGTTTCTGATAACTAAGATTACATTGTTAAGATTAATTCAGCAGTTTGGTAACTCTGAAGCACATTATTGGTGTTGGTTCTAGGCTGATGGTTTTAACTTTTTCAAGGAGCACATTTAGATGCAGCAAAGACCAAAAGGTAGTATTTTCCTTCTCTTTTTTACATTCCTTCTCAAAGTTCAGCTGAAAACTG